TTTTTTGGTTTTTCGAGACAGGGTTTCTCTGTGGCTTTGGAGCCTGTCCTGGAACTAGCTCTTGTAAACCAGGCTGGCCTCGAACTCACAGAGATCCGCCTGCCTCTGCCTCCCGAGTGCTGGGATTAAAGGCGTGCGCCACCATCGCCCGGCTATGACCTTTTACTCTTTCACTCCCCCAATAAACCTCTTGCAGGAATGCTGTTGCGTGTGGCGTGTTTGCTTAATGACATACTTTGGCAGGACCAGCTGAAAAGACTCACTTCACTTTTCTTTTTTTTTTTTTTTTAATCATTATATTTACTATGCAGCTCTGCCTGAAGTGGCCCTTACTCTTCAGCCCACGGTAATGCTCCTGCTTTAGCCTCCCCGAGTGATGGTGACTATCACAGCAGTCCATTAAATGCCCCTTAATGGAAAGCTAGTAGTAGAGACCTAACACTGCAAGCTACTTAAAGCAAAACAGAGTTAGTCCAGTTGGGCTGGTTGATCACCAGGCTAAGAGACAACCCCTTAGAAAGGTGGGACCACACCTAGGAAGGTGGAATAACTACATCTTTAATGACCTGCTGCACTCTTCTCCAAAGTCCCCACAAGCCTCCATCCTGTCCATGGGGTCTGCCCACCTTGTTCCTTTTTGGTCTTTTTCTTTCCAGTGCTGGTTGGAGCCTAAATATATACTTTCCTGATATTTTGGGCTTCCTCCTCTTTCTCTAAAGCTCCTGTCCCTGTCACGCATCTGTTTGTCCACAATACGGCTGACTTCCGTGCTGGGGTAACTCAAACAGTAAGGAGGCTGGTTTGTTTTTTCCTCTCCTTTGTTTTCCTCCTCTGGGCATTTATGCTACGCCTGTCTTGCTTGGTTTTATTACTATTATTTTTCACTCTAAAAATAACAATCTTTGCCAGACGGTGGTGGCGCACGCCTTTAATCCCAGCACTCTGTGAGTTCGAGGCCAGCCTGGTTTACAGAGCTAGTACCATCAGGACAGGCTCCAAAGCTACACAGAAAAACCCTATTTTGAAAAACAAAACAAAATAAAAAATCTTTAAAATAAACTTTTCCTGCCTTTTGAATCTTTAGTTCAAAAACACCTTTCCTTCACTCCTTGATAGAATTAATAGGGTTTACTGATGCACAGCAGAAGGTTGGGTACCAAGTCTTAAGAAAGGCATTTTTAGAATCCGGACTCCTTCTTGCCAGATTAGTTTGGTGAGGCCTCATAGACTTACAGGATGGCAGCCCAGGATGGAGTACACAAGTCACATGTCAGAAGATGGTGCAGCCTTAAGGTAGGAAGGGCTCTGGTGGCATAGCAGCCAATTAAGAAGGTGAGGGTACAGAGAGCGGTCCCTGAAGCCGGAGAGGAATGAGCAAAGAGAAGACTGTCCAGTATGAAAGAGTTGATTCCGTGTGGGGAGGCAAAAGTCTCCTTCTTGGGCTCAGAATCTGAAAAAGAGGTAAAGATGCCAGACCATTATGCTTGGTTATTTTGCTGTTTGAACCCAGGGTCTTGTACGTGCTAAGTCATGTCCCCAGCTCTTTTACTGTGTGGGTTTGTTTCTAGATGAACAGGTTCTTACAGCTGAGGGTGCCTTCAATTCCCAATTTTCAAATTTCTCTCCTCCCACCCAAGTGATAAGATTACGGACATTCTTTTTTTTTTTTTAAATATTTATTTATTTATTATGTATACAATAGTCTGTCTGTGTGTATGCCTGCAGGCCAGAAGAGGGCACCAGACCCCATTACAGATAGATGGTTGTGAGCCACCATGTGGTTGCTGGGAATTGAACTCAGGTCCTTTGGAAGAGCAGACAATGCTCTTAACCTCTGAGCCATCTCTCCAGCCCCGATTACGGGCATTCTTGACCATTAAAATTTAAGTTACTATTTATTTATCTATCCATTTATTTATTTATTATTAATTAATTTATTTATTTTGTTTTTTCAAGATAGACAGGGTTTCTCTGTAGCTTTGAACCCTATCCTGGAACTTGCTCCATAGACCAGGCTGGCCTCGAACTCACAGAGATCCGCCTGTCTCTGCCTCCCGAGTGCTGGGATTAAAGGTGTGTGCTACTACCGCCTGGTAAAACTTAGATTTTTTTTTTTTTTTTTTTTTAGACTGCATCTTGTGTAGGCCACCCTGAATTCAAACTCTGACTTATGGGGATGACCGGAGATGATCTTGAACTTCAGACTCTCCTGCCTCGGCCTCCCAAGTGCCTGGATTACAGGTGTGAATCACTACACACAGTTTCTATGGAGATGAGGCTCAGACCTAGGTGTCTGCATGCTAGGCAAGCACTCTAGCAACTGAGCTACACCCTCCAGCACTAGGTCTGGATTCTAATAAGGTTTATCTGGCATGTGCTTCACTAGACTTTCACACGCGTCTACAACACAGCTCTCCAGCATCTGTCCAGGATGGAGAAAACCCTGACATTGTCCTCCTGAGGCACCAGCCCTGCTGCACTCCACAGTACCAGGTACATGGAGACCCAGGGCTCCCTACATCTCTCCAGCCCTATTCACTGGTACCTGGATGGTCTTAAGTGGTGGCTGACTGGTTGGCCTCAAGAATGGAGGGCAAAGGAAGGTCAACCCATCTCTTGATAGATTTAGTTCAGGGATGTCTTGGACAGCACTAAGGGTGCCTTTTTGGATGACTGCTGTCCTCTCTGACACAACTGGTCCCTGTTGTTTGGTGCCTGTCTACTTTCCACCCCATGTCATGAGCTACCCTCTATTCTGATCTGTGGCCAAGCTGCGGCATTGATTCCATAACCATTCATTTAGAGAGTAGTGAATTTCTGGGGGTCTGGGTGGGATAAGGTGGGAACACCAAATGAGGATGTTTCCCTGGGAAGGCGGGCCTGTGTTCTTTGGGCGACTACAGGGGAGCCCTGTAAAGCGTCCTTATCTGGCTTGGGAGCATGAGAGACTCAGAGAACCTTTTTCTCCACTTTAGGAGAAAAGCCACCCAAGGAGGTCCAGGCCCTCAACCTCCGGGTTCGTGCGCCCTCTCCAGTCCTGCTGAGAAAACCGAGGGCGTGGCCAGAGAATTGACTGACGGCTCACACACACCAGTCTGGCGACGACGGAAGCGTGCTCAGGCCCACTGATCCCTGGCTCCTCCGCCATCCCAGCTTCTTGGATTTGGTTTTGACGCGAACCAGGCCGGAAGACTGCCTAGTCTTAAGAGAAACACCGGAAACGTGTTCCCGACTATCGTTCCGCCTGCGCCGCGGCCATCGGTTCCGTTTCACGGCCCGGAAGTGCGGCCTTCAAGTTGCCAAGCAGGAGGCAGCCACTGCAGGACCTGGTGCCCGAGGAGTCGGAGGTGGGGTCCAGCGGGCATCCCTCGGTCACGTCCCAGAGTCAGACGGAAGGCCCGGGCGTGCTGGAGGAGGGACGCCCGCGTGAGGATCGGTGCACGCGTGGCGAACGCGAGAGGGCGCTGCAGGATCGGGGCATGGCGCGGGCAAGGCTGCAGAGGCGGGAAACAGTCGGTGTGGTCGTTGTGGGCCCGAAGGGGGCTCTGGCACAGGGTGGGAGAGAAACAGGTTGATGGAGCAAGGTGCATGGCATGGGAGAGGACATGGCGGCGAGAATACAGCAGTAGATGTGGTCGAGAGTGTGTCTTTGTTCTCGAGCATCCAGGAAGGTCCTGCTGCATCTGAGGAGTCCGAGCCCTCCGGGAAGCGGGGTGGGAGTGGAGGGTGGATTTGAGGAGTTTAGGACCTATGCTATGGGTTGGCACACAAGTTGAAAAAGGAGGCCGCTGGCAGAGGCAGGTGCAAAGCCTTGTCTGAAGAATTAATTCATCGTCATAGAGGACTCAGATAAACTAGGTTAGCAGGCTCCCTCTGGCTGTCGCAGAGGGAAATGTCCGGAGGTGGGGGTGTGGAGGGACTTACAAGGTGACTTCCAGCAGTCCAGGCTGGTGGTAACTGGCACAGTGTATAAGATGATTTGAGAGGAAGGGAGGAATCGGCCTGGCCAAAGGGAAGGACGTTGAGTCTAAGTTCTCAGCCCTGGTGTAGGGGCAGGATTTAATGGGGCCCCACTCAGGAGCCAAGGCCCCAGAGAAACGGGTGTTAGGGTGTATCCTGTATCTTGATTCTCTCCCTTGGAGCAGAGTTGTATGCAGTCTGAACCAAATGTAATATTCTTATTTGTTAAATAAGGAAACAGGCCCAGAGACCTGGAATTATCCACTTGGTGGCTTACCTGGCAGATCTCAGCTTCTTAGCTTTGTGTGTGTGTGTGTGTGTGTGTGTGTGTGTGTGAGAGAGAGAGAGAGAGAGAGAGAGAGAGCACCACGAGGGAGTTTCTTCCCTTTTCCAGGGCCTCAGTCTCATCAGAGCCAGGATGATAGTCTCGGATGCATAAGAAATATGAGGGTTGAAACCCAGTGTGATGGTTTTCAGCTTGCTGGTCTTTCACATCCCTTGTGTGTGGTTTCTTAGCACCCCAGGGCTCAGCTGATGTAAAAAAGAAACAGGGCCGCAGTGCTTTGTTATAAGTAGTATTTATTTGCTTTCCTTGGGTATGAGGGGACACTGATGCCCAGCCTGAGGAAGTGCTCCCATATTTGCCAGGAGGCAGGTGCATCCACCCCCACACAGCAGTTGTGGTGCTAGGATAAGGGAATCTGGCTAGGGGAGAATAGAAAAGAAAGAAAACAACCATAGAGGAAAGGGTCATGAGTAGCTTGGAGATGAGATAGTAGCATATTGTTTCCTCGGGAGGTCGTTCTCGATGAGACAGGGTAGCCAGTTTTGAATGGGAGTTACTGGCATTTGTTTTAAACAAGACCACCCCCTTGGGAGGAGGACAATCCTGTGATTTAAAGATATTAAAGTTGGGGATAGATAAGTTCCCAGAAAGAGGCTAAACCTAGATCCTCTTTGGGGCAGAAAACGGGATATATATGCTGGTGTTGCAGGGATGGAGGGCGCTGAAGAGTAACTAGGTCAGGAGTGCTGACGTGTATTACGTGTTCCCTCAGGGACTGTGAGGAGGGATGTATGAGGTCGGCCCAGCCTGGGGATGTGGTGCACCTTTGGGTTCTGTGATAAGGATTAAAGGGACCAGGACATAGGATGACAGAGTCCTTAACTGATCGCCCAACCCCCACTGTCTCCTCATCCCGCAGATGGCAGCGACCGAGGCTGTGCACCACATCCACTTACAGAATTTTTCGCGCTCACTTCTGGAGACCCTCAATGGGCAGAGGCTAGGCGGTCACTTCTGCGATGTGACCGTGCGCATCCGCGAAGCTTCCCTGCGTGCGCACCGCTGCGTGCTGGCCGCGGGCTCGCCCTTCTTCCAGGATAAGCTGCTGCTTGGCCATTCAGAGATTCGTGTGCCGCCAGTGGTGCCTGCGCAGACGGTGCGCCAGCTGGTCGAGTTCCTGTACAGTGGCTCCCTGGTGGTGGCTCAGGGCGAAGCCCTACAGGTGCTCACAGCAGCGTCGGTGCTTCGCATCCAAACCGTCATTGATGAGTGCACGCAAATCATTGCGCGTGCCCGTGTCCCCAGCACCCCGGCACCTGCACCTCTGCCACCACCCGTGCCCCCTCCACTCGCTCCCGCGCAACTGCGCCACCGTCTGCGCCACTTGCTGGCGGCCCGCCCCCCGGGTCACCCCAGCGCAGCGCACAGCCGCAAACAGCGCCAGCCTGCACGTCTGCAGCTGCCTGCACCCCCAGCACCAATCAAGGCTGAGGGGCCAGATACCGAGCCGGTGCTGACTGCCGCCCCTGAAGACAGAGGTGAAGAGGATGACGACGAAGAGACCGATGAAGAGACCGACGCTGAAGAAGGTGAAGGCGGCGGCGGCGGCGTAGGCCCGGGTGAGAGCCAGGCGCCCCTTGCTTTCCCCGACTGCTCAGGGGGCTTCCTTACCGCCACCGCAGCTGACAGCTCACGTGAGGACCCGCCTGCATCCACTGGCGTCACTGATTATGGTGGTACCGGGAGAGATTTCCTTCGGGGGACTACGGTGACCGAGGATGTGTTCCCAGATAGTTACGTGTCCGCCTGGCATGAAGCGGAAGGCAACGGGGGTCCAGAAAGTTGTCCGGTGGAAACCTCTGCCCCACCTGACTGTGCCCTGGCTGGGCCTCGCCCCACTGGCATGAAGACCCCTGGACCCCCCGTGGCTCTCTTCCCCTTTCATTTGGGTGCCCCAGGGCCGCCAGCACCAACACCTCCGGCTCCATCAGGGCCAGCCCCTGCCCCCCCTCCCGCTTTCTACCCCACGCTCCAGCCAGATGCAGCCCCCAGTGCTCAGCTAGGAGAAACCCCGGCTGTACCTGCTGCCGCTGCTGCTCCTGCAACAGCCATCTCTGGCCCTCCTGTGCGCGTCCCCGGTGCCTCGGGTGCTGAGCAACCCGCCTATGAGTGTAGTCACTGCCGCAAGACTTTCAGTTCTCGGAAAAACTACACCAAACACATGTTCATCCACTCTGGTGAGTGCGAGAGGAAAGGAAAACGCCATCTCTACTCACACAGATTTCTGAACCCCTTAATCGATGGACATTTGGTTCCTGGGTGGGATCAGGCACGTGAGGTGCTTTGTTTTGTGTTAGCCTTAGAAGTCTAACTTAGTTCCCCCGTGTAAAGCAGTTGATTGGGAAGTGGGAGCCTGCCCTTCCAAAGCAGACCTACTAAGATCTTAAAGAAAGCTAGCTTCAGGGGTGGGAGCTGCAGGAAGCAGGAAGAGAGTTATGGTGAAGGAACGTGGGTTTATTTCCTATAAAAGTGGCTCATAATATGGGTCTGAGTAGAGAAGGGTCTGCGAGTGCCAGCCGAGGTGTGAACTGGGGATGAAAAATCCTTGAAGTAGGAGAGATCTGAGTGTAGCCCAAATGGGCAATGGGTGTTGTTCCAGACAGGTAGAGTTCCCTTTTAAGGGTTCCTGGCAGACGGTGGCATAGTTGAATGAAGATGTGGGTTTGGGAGAGGGCTTCCTGGCAGAGTGGGATCCCAGAGTGGTTTCCTTGACAAGCAAAGGGTTTCTGACCTGACTCGGGAGGGGAGAATAGAGGAGTCCCTACCAAGGACAGGCTCCAGGGAGAGCAAGATGGACTAATGTGTGTGTGGCTTGCTTTGTCGTCTGCAGGGGAGAAGCCACATCAGTGCGCAGTGTGTTGGCGATCCTTCTCGCTGCGCGACTACCTGCTCAAGCATATGGTCACACACACTGGCGTGCGAGCCTTCCAGTGTGCTGTGTGTGCCAAGCGCTTCACGCAGAAGAGCTCGCTCAATGTGCACATGCGCACACACCGGCCGGAGCGTGCACCCTGCCCTGCCTGTGGCAAGGTTTTCTCACACCGCGCACTATTGGAGCGCCACCTGGCAGCTCACCCTGCACCTTGATTGGGATCCAGCTGTACTCAGTGCGCAGGTGCAGTCAGACCCTTGGACTAGATCCACTCCACCGGAAGGCTCTTGCTTCGGAGTCTGGACTCTTTCTCTTCCCCACTCTCACCTGTTTTCCCTGGACTTGAGACCCAGAACCCTATATCCCTCCTACACATGCTTAGCATCTCTGGATGGGATATGGCAGGGTAGAGGATGGTCAGGGACCCTACCACCTCAGAGATCTAGACCATTTCCAGGTTGAGCTGGGTCCACAGACTCTTGAAACCTGATATGGGATTTTTGTCCTACCCCCTGTCGGGATATGATGTCTAGCATTATCCTCTGCCCCAGTGCTGGGCTAGAATTCTCTGACCTCACCTGTAACGCCTGCGACTGGACTATTCTCGGTACAGTTCGCTCGCCACTGTAAGTGAGCCAGGCAAGAGACCTGGGTCATTCGAAAGAAGATCAGCGGAATGCCGTTCATTCAAGTTTAGGGAAAACCTTAATACCTAGCTGCTGCACAATGGAATAGCCCCCGGGCAGGTGGGAAATTACCACGCCCAAGGTGAAGCTAATCACCAGGCTGAGCAGAGGGAACACAAGAACAAACAGGCTATTTAGCTGGCTGACCTGAAACTGTCCTCAAGATGAAACCCGGGAGCAAGGGTAGACCCATGGGCCCTACATTCACCCTCAGTGTGGATTTCCCTTTCCTCATTGGGTGCCTATGGAGACTCAGATGGACCTACCATGGAACTTTAGGATTCCATTCTAATAAAGGATGTTGGGCCAGTACATGCCTAGTAGGCTTTTTGAGTTATGGGCTTGGGGCTTGGTCCCCACGTTCGTGGGTTGTACCTTTGCAGTCCCTTGAGATTTCCTGGGCAGGTAGGCACAATTTGGTTTGATAGCCTGAACTTTTATTTTGGGATTTAGGTGGGTGGCCTGCATAGGTAACAGTCATCCAGTTTTCTTGAAGTGTTCAACCCTGTGGGGAGGGGAATCCCAGTCCCAATGCTGGCTGCTACATACACATTGTAGAAATTGAGTCCCCCTTCCAACCAGAAACCTTTAAGACTCAAGGTTTTCCCTCCCCCTTCCTGATGGACATGAATGTTGGACATCCCACTCGTGAGATGCCTAGGAGGGCTCTTGGGGGCCAGGCTGCTGTGAGGACATTTGAACCCTGGATGTTGGACTCCCAGTACAAGAGAAGCCAGAGTGAATTGGATGGTTGTGTCAGGTGGGTGGGAAGCAAGAATTCATAGAACCCAGGTTGCCTCTTGAATAAAGAAGGTGGCCTAGTGTCAAAGACACCAGCATGATACCTGCTCTCAGCTCAGAAAGGCTTCCTCCCTGTTCCCTTCCCACCTCTGATACACTGATGTCCAACTAAGGATTTGGGGCAGGAGAAGCTCTAGCTTGGAAGGCCTACCTGCTTGTCTCCTGGGCCCATGGGGCTCTTCTGTGGCTCAGCCTTCTGAATCCCAAAGCTCAATCCACAAGGACACCAGAAGTGAGGCAGAATCCCCATGCCGCAGGCTCATAGTGGAGAACAGAAGTGTGTTAAATCCGGATGATTGAAGGTGTTCTAAGTGTTTACTGAGCTGCTACTGTACCTGACAGTCAACAGGTTTCCCTTGGATAGTTCAGGCCGAGACCCGGGTTTCATGAAATTACCTTGAGGTAGGTAATTGAGACACAGGCTGGACTTCTTATCTTACTGACTGGAGTCAGGCAGGTCTCATTCCCTTCCTGCCTACTTTCTCATCCTTTTTGTTTTCCTGAGACAGGGTTTCCCAGTAGCTATGGAGCCCATCATGGAACTCACTCTGTAGACCAGGCTGGTCTTGAACTGAGAGATCCTCCTGCCTCTGCCTACTGAGTGCTGGGATTAAAGGCATATGCCTACTCTTTATTTACTTTTATTTAACGTGCATTGGTGTTTTGCCTGCATGTATATCTGTGTGAGGGCGTCATATCCCCAAGAAGTGGTGATACAGACAGTTGTGAGCCTCCATGTGTGTGTGCTGAGAACTGAACCTGGGTCCTTTGGAAGAGCCATCAGTGCTCTTAACCGCTGAGCCAGCTCTCCAGCCCCCTCGTTTCCCATCCTTAACAGACATGAGACAGAGACAAACACTAGCCTTCAAGAGGAGGCTGGTTGGTGGTGTCCAAAGGAGGTGGAGCAGGCCTGGCGATCAGGCAGAGGGCTGGAACTGTAGGACTCCCAGCCAGTAAGAACTGTGTGGCAAAAGGACAGAGTTCAAGGGACAAGAGCAGTTGCTGATAGCACTGATCATAACTGGGGATTGGGGTAGGCAGGCTCCCTTAAAGGCAGGAAGGTAGGGCTTCAGAGCTCCAGACAGAATCAAGACTACCGCTGCACTCAGCGACTTCAGAACGAGCCAGTGCCATGGGCGTTTGGCAGAAACTGACCTTCCTGCTACTGTTGCTGCTTCTGCTGGTTGGCCTGAGGCAGCCCCCATGGCCAGCAGCTGTGGCCTTGGCCCTGCGCTGGTTCCTGGGGGACCCCACATGCTTTGTACTCCTTGGCTTGGCATTGCTGGCCAAACCCTGGATCAGCTCCTGGATGCCCCACTGGCTGAGTCTGATAGCTGCAGGTGTTACATTAACTCTGTTGCCTCCACAGCCACCCCCGGGACTACGCTGGCTACACAAAGATGTGGCCTACATGCTCAAGATCCTCTCCTATGCCCTGAAAACTAGGCAACTCCTTAACAAGCAGCCTCCAGAGATTTTTGTGGATGCTTTGGAGCGGCAAGCACGGGCACGGCCTGACCATGCAGCCTTGGTGTGTGCAGGGTCTGGGGCCCACTCAATCACCAATAGCCAGCTGAATGCCAGGGCCTGTCAGGCAGCGTGGGCACTAAAAGCAAAGCTGAAGGAAGACAGCAGCCAGCAGACCAGAGAGATTGCGGCCCTCTTAGTGCTCCCCTCCAAGAACATTTCTGCTTTGAGTGTGTTTCTGGGGTTGGCCAAGCTGGGCTGCCCTGTGGCCTGGATCAACCCACATGGCCGAGGGAAGCCCCTGCTGCACTCTGTGCTGAGCTCTGGGGCCAGTGTGCTCATTGTGGACCCAGGTGAGTGCCCTAGGGCCAGTGAAAAGGGGACAAGTTTCTGGGAGCTGGGCAGGAAGCCTTTGTTGTATCTATATCTGCCCCATGCCGTAAGGGTCAAAATGTTGGTTTACCTGGGAAGTAATTCTAGGGTTGCTGCTTTAAATATTTTCCCCTAAATCTTTCAGGTTCATTTGATTAATTTTTTTAATTGAAGTTTTTTTGTTGTTGTTGTTGCTGCTGTTGTTTTGTTTTAAGACAGGATCTTATATGAAGCACCGGCTGTTTGGAACTCCATATATAGATCAGGCTGGCCTCGAACTCACAGAGTTCCACCTGCCTCTCCCTCCTGAGTGCTGGGATTGAAGGCGTGGGCCATGATGCCCAGCTTTATTTGACTAAATTTATATTCTATGAATTATGAGGTTCTTTTGTTCGTTTGTTTTTTGAGACAGGGTTTCTCTGTGTAGCCTTGGCTGCACCGGAACTCGATCCGTAGACCAGGCTGGCCTCAAACTCAAGATATCCACCTGCCTCTGTCTTCTGAGTCCTGGGATTAAAGGTGTGTGCCACCACCGCCTGGCATCATAAAGTTCTTCATCCAGGAATGGGGGAACTTTTCTCTGCTACCTGCTTTCAGTCCCTGGGTTTCTGAGACTCCCTTTTGACTTTGAAGGAAGCTGCGAGTTACCTCTCTTTTCCTCTGATGGTCCCTGCAGACCTCCGGGAGAGCCTGGAAGAAGTCCTTCCCCAGCTCCTAGCAGAGAACGTCTCCTGCTTCTACCTTGGCCACAGCTCACCCACTCCAGGTGTGGAGGCTCTGGGGCCTGCCCTGGATGCTGCTCCTTCTGACCCAGTGCCTGCCAGCTTTCGAGCCCAGATCAAGTGGCAAAGCCCTGCCTTATTCATCTACACATCAGGAACCACTGGTGAGGAGACTGATGGCCCTGCCCCCACCCTCCGCTCCAACACCCTGACCTCACTCACCTTGCCCTAGCACTTGACTTCCAACCTCTGACTTTGACTCTGACCCCAAGTGCGCTACTATTTTGTTTGGATTTATGGTCCTCCCCCAACTGAAAACCAATCACAGACTGGGATGTGGTGCTGTTCACATGTAAATCTCAGCACTCAGGGGTTGAGAGGCCAGAGAATGTAGAGTTCAAGGTGTGCACCTTTCAGTGGATTGCTTACTAAAATCAAAAAATACACACATTAGCATTTCCGCTGTGCAAGGCAAATTCACCAAGCATTCCATTCCATGTTTTTAAAAAGGAATACAAATTCAAGCTGGGTGTGGTAATGTATGCCTTTATTCCCAGCTCTCTGGAGGCAGAGGCTAGAGGATCTCTGTGAGTTGAGGCCAGCCTGGTCTAAAGAGCAAGTTCCAGAACAACCAGGGCTACACAGAGAATTCCTGTCCTGGAAAAAAATAATAATAATAAATAAGGAATGAAGGTTCTTTTTGATAAAAAGAAAGGGAAGATGGCAAAAAAAAAGGGGGGGGGAGAAGGAAGGAAGGAAGGAAGGAAGGAAGGAAGGAAGGAAGGAAGGAAGGAGTGAGTGAGTGAGTCTGGGTTACATAGTGAGTCCAAGCTAGCTTGAGCCACAGAGAACAACATTGTCTCAGAAAACAAAACATGCAGAAAAAAACAAAAACAAAAGATACTCAGTGAGTTTTCATGCTTTTTGTTATTTATTTTTTTGGTCTCTTGCAGCTTTAACTGGCTTTGAGCTCCCTCTGTAGCTGCCTCATCCTCTTACCTCACTTTACCCAGAGCAATCTTCATGTCTGGTCCCCTCTGAGAGGCTCAGCCGCAGGCAGACCACCCTGCAGTGATAGTCGGTCTCTCTTCTTGCCCACCCTTACTGCTCCCTCACCCTCCAGGCCTCCCAAAGCCAGCCATTCTCTCACATGAGCGGGTCATCCAGATGAGCAAGATGCTGTCCTTCTGCGAAGCCACAGCTGACGACGTGGTCTATGTTGTTCTACCTCTGTACCATACGATTGGCCTCGTCCTTGGAGTCCTGGGCTGCTTACAACTTGGTAAGTCTTCCAAGGACCACAGTGCATTAGTGCAGGGCAATCGAAAGGTCAGGATTCTATACTATGCACGCTGACTTAGTTTTCCCCACCCCAGGTTGGGCCATTTAGCCTAGGCTGGCCTCAGACTTGGTATATAGTTGAAGGTGGCCTTGAACTTCTGATGCTCCTGGCAGACGCATACTGTCATGCCCAGTTTTAGACACTTTTTGTCTTTTTCATTTTCCTTGGAAGACAAGGGCTCAGGCCAGTGGTGGCCTGATTTTAATTCCAGCACTTAGGAGGCAGAGGCCGGTGGAGATCAAGGCCAGCCTGGTGTACTAGTCCCGGAGGTGACTAGTGCCACTAAGCTCAGTACATTGCTCAGGAGGCAGAAGCTGAGACACTGCAGATCAATCTCAGACTGATTACATACATAGAAAGGCCCAATCAGCTATGGCTAATAACTCGGTAGAAAAGACCACCTGCTGCTCTTAACAGGTTTGCTTCCCAGTACCAACATCAGAGTCACTCCAACTCCAGGGGATCTGACGCCCTCTCCTGGCCGCTATAGGCATCCACATGCATATGGTGCATATACATACACACATACATATATTCACACACATACCCATACAGGCATGTACATATAAAAAACAAATCTTGGGACTGGAGAGATGGCTCAGAGGTTA